TTAATAATATTAGTAAAACGAGAAAACATTTCACTAATGGATTCATTTGTATTCATACTAAAAAGTTCATATTGATGCACAAGTCTATGAATTTTAGTATTCTTGACTTGACTAGTTCCTTCATAGGTGACTATGAGTTTGTCCCAAATTTCTTTGGCCGTGTTATAATCACAAATTTTATTATACTCATCTTTACTTAATGCGCAGTAGAGATTATTTTTGGCCTTGGAATTACATTGAATTAGTTTACGGTCATTGGCATCCCATTCGGATTTTGGTTTGGGAATTTTATTTCCTTCTACTATTTTAGTTGGAACATTGTTTCCAAATTCAATAACATCCCATACTTCAATGTCAACATTTTCAAGAAAGACTCTCATTCTATTTTTCCAATAGTTAAAATCATTACCATCGAATAAGGGAGGTCGATTGTTTGACTGTCCTTTTAAAGAAGACAATGAGCCAATGTTGGACATGATCGTATTCTAAGACAGTTAAGTCGTATAGATAGAATTTAGGCTCTGATACCACTTGTTACCCAATAATGGACTCCAGAGGGGGGGTGAATAGAGTCCTTGTCCAACTATGGCAAATTCAAAGTTTTATAGTAATGCAATTTTAGTAAACAACTTAAACAGATATGTTATTTTGGATTAACAGAATTATGCTAAACAAATCAGTAGATAAAGACAAGTATAAACTGAAATGTAAAGAGGAGAGATAGAGAAATTGTAAACATAGACACAACAATTTTAGTGAGGTTCAAAAACTCCTACTCCTCGGCTCAAAACCCCTTTTGAGACTTCCCAATCTAATATAGCTCCTCCTTACGGGTGGAAAGCAAACCTTGAAAAGAAGCAATTCCTTTCTTCTCTTAGCTAAGAGATAGCCTCTCTTAGTCTTTACTTAGGGCCAAACTAGCCATTATAATAACTTTGCTAAGAGAAATCCGTTTCTTAGTCTTATAATGAAATATAGAAGTGTTTTACAAATATGTCACTCTCTCAACTTGAAATTACAGTGAACACTCTCTAGAGAATCAAATGATACACTTGAATCTCACTCTTTAAATGATGTAAGTGTGTGAGAGAAGAAATATCAGAAGTATAACTTGAAGTATGAAGGAAGGATGGCTAAACTTTTTGCTCTACAAGATGGTCTGAATGTAGCTTTGTGTATTGAGGCTCAAGCACACACTTGCAGACAACTAATCTCAGCATATATAAACTTCTTCCTTGGTTAATAGCCATTGTACAACCTCCTCTAGATTAAGACATAACATAGCAACATTTGGCAGAGAAGCTTCTTTTGACAGAGAAACTTTGTTTGACAGAGGTGCTCCGTGCATTAGACAGTTATCAGATTTGGACTCATATGTATGGCTCTTTTATAGATGATATAGCTGTTGGCCTTAAGACAAAAACATTAACACGACTGAAGACAGCCAACATGTTAGTATACACATGTGAAATAAAATACAAAAGCATAGCACGGGTTGAAGGATAGAAGATTTCTACAGTAGATTTGTTTGACCAACAAAAGAAGTCGACTTAGTTGAGAACTAATTTGGCTCAGTTCAAGAACAAGTCAACTCGGTTAATAACTGAGTCGACTGAATTGTCTAGTCTCATGATTTTGAAAGTGATGAGCCTTGGCCTAATCGAGTCAACTGGGTTAAGAAGGGAGTCGGCTCAGTTAAGAACTGAGTCGGCTAGATTACTAACTAAGTCGGCTGAGTTATGCCTTAACCTATTTTCTTACTGTTCTATGATGCCTCAGTGTTTGGATGTTTAATGAAAAATATAATGTGAATGATTGGCAACTCAATTAGTATGATTGTGATAAATTGAAGTATGTGAGTGATGCATGATCCTAGAATGAGCTTCAAATGATCTCACAGATTCTTTACATTTTGATCCTAAGTTACTCACCAACCTGTCTACCCCATAGGTAAGCTTTGGTGTTCTTTGAGGTTACATAGACTTCCTTGTGCCAATTGTATTTTGCTTTGGTGATATATTCCAGAGTGATTTCAGCGTCAATGACTTGGAAGTGATCTTGTGTTTGAGTTATCCTTCCTTCCTCACAGTGTTCCTTTTGATCTAGAATTAAACTCAATGTAAACATTAGTACATTGAACATCATTAATGGTTTGTTATTATCAAAAGTACTAGATTGCCCTTAGGAGAAATTTGTAGAGTCAACAGACTGTATTTCCTTAGATAAACTCGGGTTTGGTTACGAACCTGGATAATGATTCAGATCTTCGAGTTCGGGTCGTTACAAAATTGGAATCAGAGTAATGGTTCGAAAACCATTAGAATGACGGGTAGAGGCTTACCTAAAGTAGTAAAGAAGTTGATGTGTATTGTTTACGTGATTATGTGTTAATGTGTTTTGTCAATTGGGAAAACATGCTTAATTGTTTATGTGACTACATACTTAATTGCTTAAAGTTGATGTATATTGTTAGTATGACCATGTATATTACTTGTTGAGTATTTCGTGAGTATATAAGGTGTTTATATGAAGTCATTTCATGTTAAGTTATTCATGTGAGGATGTTGTTCTCAGGCAGACTTTAGTGTCATTATAATTGATTCATCTTTTTCATTTATAGCATTATGCCACCACGATATAGACCAAGAGGAGATATTGGGGAGAGTTGTAGCTCTAATCCTGCGGAGCAAGTTGAGGAGGATACACTTCCTAGGGATTTGGTTCCTCCGAGAGGTGTACCCATTAGAACGGGCAATATTGAGGCACCAATTGTTGAGGGTGAAGGTGTAGTTAGGTAAACCCTAACCACACTGCTGCAAGATGTTTTACGGGCTACGGTTGCTACTATTCCACAACTAATACCCCAACTGGCACCATAACTAGTAGTTCAGTCAGAAGAGACAGAGATGAAGAAGCATCTCAAGTTGATTTCTATATTTGTCAAGTTGATGCCCACTATGGTTGAGGGTGGTCTAGACCCTATAGTAGCGGATGACTAGTTTGACCAAGTGGAGAAGCACTTGTCGACTATAGGTGTGACAAATGATCAGTTAAAGATCATCTTGGCAACTTATAATTTATCTAAAGAAGCGAAGCTAAGGTGGAAGTTGGTTACTAACCGACATGATGTTGAGACAATGGATTGGGATACCTACATGGAGTTATTCTATGGGAAGTACTTTCCTATGACCAAGAGATGGGAGTTAATGAGGGAGTTTGATCTCCTTACTCAAGGCAGTATGATAGTGACAGAGTACGAGAACAAGTTCACCTTTCTCTCTTGCTTTGCTCCCGACTTAGTGAGAGATGAGGTGGATAAGACCCGCAAGTTTGTCTTTAGCCTTCATTTTAGCTTAAGGCCAACATTGACAGCTAAACACCTCAAAGTTTACACAGAGGCAGTACAGAGAGCCTTGATGATAGAGGCGGAAGTAAAAAACAAGAATGAGAATAGGCAACAGTGGAGACAAAAGAGGAATGTGGGACTATCTTCAGAGGGGCAGACAATGAAGAAGCATAAGGGTGGTTCTTCTCAGTTTTAGAGGCATTAGCCTGCATGATCCGCTCCTACTACTCCTATGTCAACTAGATCAATTAGGAGTGGATTTGTCTACTTTCAGTGTCAGCAGCCTGGACATTACACGTCTAATTGCCCTATGAACTCGTTAATAGTTTCTACTGCATTAAGAGTGTGTTTTGGGTGTAACCAATAGGGCTATATGATTCAGGATTGTCCATGATGAGGTAAAGGCACAGGCAGTGGTAGGGGATCACATTAGAGGCCAGCACAGTTAGCTACAGTTCAGTCAAGTTTCAGACCACCACCACCACTACCACAGCCTACCATGTCTACTCAGGGTTCACGGCCTACTAGGGTGGCAATCTATAGGTATTAGAACCACAAGGTCATGTCTATACAACTTTTCTAGCTGAGGCATCATCAGTAGTCTGATTTATATTGTGTGTTGTTTAATTCTGGTGTATCCCATTCTTTCATCTTATCCCCTTTTTTCTTTTTTTCTTTTTGCTTTATTCAAATGTTTAAAGATGATCATTAAAGGTAAGTTATAAAAATTTGAACAAGGTTATTTCTAAGGATTCTAGTCTAGAAGACTTGAACCAATTCAAAGACCTTGAACCGATTCAATAAGTGTTTAGTTTCTTGAATTTGAATTTGCCAGACTTGAACTGGTTCCACCCCTTGAACTGGTTCAAGACATCGAAACTTGGCACATAAGTTCCTCATATGCACGCATTATTGGGTCAATTGAACCCCTCATTGGCTGCGTTTTTTACCTTTCCTCACCCCTCTCTTGCATACATATATATATATATATATATATATATATATATATATATATATCATCATATATCTCAAATCTTGCATCATAACTTCATAGAATCTTCTTTTCTTATTGCAAAATTGTGTTCCATTAAATCATTGTGATATTGAATGAAGAATTGGAGTTTGCGTTTTGTGGATTTGGTTAAGTTTGTTTGCAAAAGCATTTCGGTGAAGAAGGTTGAAACTTTTGGGGTCAATATATTATGTGTTGATTTGACCTTTTCATTGGTGTTGATTTTCAAGGGTTGAAAGAACTAAATTCAAGCTTTGAGAAGAACACTTTTCGGGTTGCACACCAAGTATTCGACAAAATTCCTAAAAGATTTTTGAAGCTTCAAAGTGAATTTTTTGAAGATAAAATGGCTTTAAGGCTGTCCAGAGAAGCGAAAGGCAAGGGAATTTCATCTTTTAAATCGCCAAAGCGTGCTAGAACTAGAATTGTCATTCGTGGGTCTCTAAAGGAGTCGTGTATTCCTTTGGGTGTACCATCATCTCCCGTGGCATCTATTTCTCCTCCACACGAGATACCAATTAGGTATCACTCTGTTTCTACCACTAGAAGGATACAGTTCACTTTTGAACATTTTTATCATGAACGGGCTTGGAAAGCATACAATGATGTCTACAAGATGGGCTAATAAAAACATAATGGAATATGCATCTAAACAAGCTCAGGGACAGCACTGGGAAGAAGCTGGTGGAATACATTGAGATAAATAGTTGGTTATTCTTCACTCGGATGGAAGGAGGTTTCTCTCCGGATATGGTTCATTACTTCTACTCTAATATCTAAAAACTTTATGATATACATTTTGTAGTATTTATTTTTGGGGTAGATTATGAAGTTAGCGAATAAGATATTCAAGATATCATTTTAATACCTGACAAGGCTACAAGCTCGGGATGTGTTTTGCCTTTAGAAGGTTCTGGTTTTAAATTACCAAAAATTTTTGATACACTTTGTGTTCCAGGATCTCCTAGGTATGGTCACTTTATTCCTTCTCAACATCTCACATATGGAGCAGTATTCTTTAATTTGTTTTCCATTGCTAATCTTGGGTATTTTAGACCGAGCTCAAGGTTTATACTTTCTTGCTAAAGGGGAACACATTCAAATTGCACCCTCTATTATGCAATTGATGATGGCTCATTACAAGAAAAATCCTCGTCAGAATTCATCTCTGTTTCCAATGGTGATCTTAAGGTTTTACAAGAAAAACAGAAATTTGATTCTTCCCCGACCTTATCATCAGAACATCATGACTGAGTTAGATCTCCATACATTAAATAATTGTGACGACCTTGGATTTTACAACCTAGTATGTCCTGTGATGACTCGAAATGGATCCAGAATGTGGAAGCAAAAGATGAAACAACGGTATCTAGAGACACAACATATCTCTAAGACACCAATGTGACCTTCAATGAGGTCACGGAACCCAAAGGAAAAAAATGCGGAAGCGACGTTTCAAAAATAGACAAGAATGAACCTAGGGGCAAAACGGGCATTTCTAACATGAAAGTGGGTGCTACCGAGCACACCATTGGAAAGACAACTAAAAATTAATCAAGTTCAAAAAAAAAGTTAACTCGATTTGGAGTCCGGACGAAGGAGATATGGCTAACGGAAGAAAAAAGGGGTAAAATAGTCAAAGTAGTCAACCATAGAACATCTTCTTGGTTACAAGGCCTTCCTAACCGGTGAGAAGGCAAAAGAATCACAACCACAACACTACTCTAAGTCATCTAACCAGTTATAAGATATCTACCGTTCGCACACTTGTACTACAACTCAGCAAAAACTTAGCAGTAGGAGTTTTTGGGCAAAAAATGGGTTTTTGAGGGCCAAGATGACTTTTTTTGGGAAAACACAAAGAAGAAACCCCTCTCAAAGTTGAGTTTTCTACTTGAAAACAAGGAAGGAATTGAAAAAAACTCATTATAAGATGCCCAAAATGCCTCTCCATGAAATCTGGTCATGAAGGTCAAAAAGCTGCTAAAATGAAAAACTGAAAGCTGAACTTTACGATGGATTTTCGGCACCAAGATGACAATTTATAGAAAAAAACAAAGAAAAAACCACCTAAAATTATGTTTTCTAAGTGACCATGTTGAGAACGGAATTTATTTCCTAAAAGAAAACCCCAAAATGCCCCTAGACCAGATTATGCAATAAAAATGCAAAATGAATGCATAGGAGGCTCATTTCACCAAAGAAGAAGTTTTTCATGAAAACAACCATGCACGCAAACATAACTTACCTATTAGGACGTGCTATAATGGTCCATGGCTTAAAAATACTGCCGATACAAAATCCGACCCCCCAACGGCCAAAAAGGCAAAAACGCACATTAAATGGTAAATTTGAAAACTAAAAATGTAAAATGGAGTCAAATGACCGCTTGGCCCTTGTCCACACTTCATACATGATTAATAAGACCCTATGAAAGAATAAAAATGGAATTCCCACACCCGATGCAACCATGGTGAGACAATGACTTGGCAATTTTCAATATTTTCATAATATTTCATTAAGTTTAACAGTTATATAGAATACAAGATACATGTCATTGGCCTTCGGCCTCATTTCATATATGTCAAATACAATACAAAAGGTGTACTTATATACACATTACATAAATGGAATCAAATATACACATTTTGACATAAAAGGCTATAAGTGGCATTTCAAGCCAACCTTTACAAGAATTAAGACCTTCAAGTCTACAATCATCCAAGCAATGATGAACATCACAAACCAAGTCTTCGTACCTGAACAAAACCCCAGTAGCTTTGAGGTGAGTAAACAAGTTTACTCGTAGAGAATGAGCATGCATCGACTCGATTTCTTATAGATTTTTACATTAACATGAAATAATTTAAAAGGGTCATGCCACATAATGTCTATGTCAAAGGTTAGACTTAGGGAGCATCCTAAGTTACCTTAAAAAATTTCTAGCATAAATCACATCCTTCATGCAATTCCGAACGACATAAGAGTATGCTATACAAAGCAACAAGATATAGATTCTCAAAGTTATCAACTTGAAATCTAAAGTGCAAAAACAACCAAAGTGGGTCATACCACCAAGTGTCTATGTCCCAAATGAATTTATAGGATCGTTCCTAAACTACATTTGAACATTTAAAGCATAATGTACTTAACAAAATCAAGTTTGCAATAATTCATTAAAAATCATAAAACATAAATGTGCTTAACAACATTAAAAGCATGCTATGATTCATTCAAAATCATAATGCATAAATGTACTTAATAACATCAAATCGCCAATAACCAAAACCACAAGTCACAATTAAACATGATTGTCAACTTGGAATTGAATGCGAAATCAAATAGTGGAAGAATTGGACATCACGTCTCAGAATGAACCAAGAACAATACGGTTATTCCGGGCATTAACCCGCTGGGAAGACCACCCTAGTACGCACTATCTCAATTGGGGAGAACTCATACCTCCCGCACTAGAGCCAAACTCTAGCCATGTCACTTGTAACAACAATGTCCCAAGATTCCAAAATAAACCAAATAAGTTCACTACTTATACATAATTTATATAATGCACGAAATCTAACATGCACAAGTAGGTTGAAACCACACAATCCATGCCTTAAGGTTTCAATTCTAAAATGACATATATAATGTCAAATACAAAGGTGTGCAATTCATTACACAAGTCAATCATATATTCAATATTGGAAACAAGTTCTCATAAATATAAATTTAACAACAGTATTACTCAATGCTTAAAACACAACCAAGTAAATACACAACAAGTCCAACATCCATGATTTATAAATAGAAGCAACTTCTACTACATAATTAAATCCATGAAACAATTAGATAGAATTTAATTAAACAAAAATAATTAAATTCTCTAGATTTCAAATCAATTCTAAATAACCTCTAATTAATATATGTTAAACAACATAGCATGCTCATTACATATATCAAATCAAAAGTGCAAAATGAGTAAGATATCATCAAATAGAATTTAACTAATTTAAATTAATTAAATCTCTAGATTTTAAAAGTTGTTCAAATGATCTCAAATTAATATATATCAAACATTAAGTCATGGTCATACCATATATCAAGTCTAAAATGGAATACAGGCAAAACACAATTAACTAGAATTTAAATCAAATTAAATTCATTAAATCTCTAGATTTGAAAACTCATTCAAATCACCCCAAATTAATATATAGCAAAGATCAAGTCATGGCCATACCATATACCAAGTCTAAAATGAGTTATATGCAAGTTACAATAAATCATTAATTTCTCAAATTAATAAAAGACATGCATACAACTTATATATCACTACAAAAGTAAGGAATACCCTTAGGTAATAAATTATAACATCCCCTACCTCATAAGAGGATTGTTCCTCTTGAATCCAAGGCAAATCAACACAAAATGGCAAACCCTTCAAGGGTTATGAAGAAGAAGATGGGGGGAACAAAAAGTATTCCCAAGGTTAAGCTTGAAAATCAATGGAAGACTCTCAAAAATCAAAGTCAAAGCTTAAGGCTTTAAGCTTCATCCATGGAGGCTAGGGTTTGTGGTGTAATGACATAATGTGAAAAAGTGTGAGTGGAGGAAATAGAAATCCTCCACTCACTATGTGATCCTACACCATGGTCAACACACACATCGATGGTCAATTGCACAAAAACCCTTCTTTAAAATCATAATCCCAAGGTAGCCCAAAAATAATTGCAAGACTTAATTTGGAGCATACACTTGTCACTCATCCAAGCATCCATTGTAGGCTTAATCCTAAGCCTATACTTGTCAACCATCCAAGCCAACAAGTGGTCTAATCCTAGGCCAACAAGTGGGTGAATCTCCACCCTCCAAATGTCACAAGATGATGCATCCAAATCACTCCACCCCAATGCCAACAAGTGGCACCATGAGAATGTAACACTTATCACATTTTTCAAAAATTACAAAAAGGTCCTTTTTGAAAATATCTTCCAAATTAAATTGCAAAATGGTCCCCAAGATGAAAAATAATTACTTCATTTAATTACACAAAAATCCCACAAGTTAAGAATATTACAAAAAAGTTATGCATCCATACCTTTTACAAGAAAAGTAAACACTTAGCATGCTTTTCTAAGAAAGTAAAAATACACAAGGCATAGGATTTAAATATCGTGGATGCATGCAAAACTGGAATTAAATCTGAACACAAAAAGTGAGGTTGTGCCGACAAAATGACAAATAGGAAAAAGACGAAAAGTGAATAGTGTCACAGAAGTGAAATGTGAAAATGACTCGGTCCTCAAAGGAAGTCATCAATCTAAAGGAAAGAGTATCAGAAACCATTCCTGAGCACTCAAGATGACACTAAGTGATGAGAAACCGAACTCAGAAAGGGAAAGATAAAAAAAAATTAAAAAAAATAAAAAAAATATCCGTGAAAATTTGAGAAAATGAAAAGAAGGAAAATGACCAGGTTATTACAATAAATCTAAGACTGCTAGGAAGAATGCAAGAAAGGTACAGAGAGGCTCAGATGAAACATTATCTCATGTTCCAAATTCTAACAAGCTCTTTTCTTCGAAAGGAAACTTCTCGAAAGATGATGCTAACTTGATGTACTCCTCACTTATTTAAAATTAGAATGTTTTGTTTAAAAGAATCATGGATGAAATACGAGAGCTCAAGGTAGAGTTGAAGATGCTTTGATCACAATAGTCAGGTGGTTTCATAGAAGATGTTTACAGACCTGTACCTCCAGAGACATCCATGAGAGATGAGGATAATGGGAGTAATGATGATGATGGTGGTGGTGATGATGTGATGATGACTACTGTTATGTTAGATGAAGATGATCTTGATGATTGATTGTCTATGTTGACTATCAGTTTTCTTTTGGATATTCTTTTGTTTATGATGTATGATTACATGTTCATATAGTCATATACATCATGATTTAGTTGTTAAGGTGACATAGTCATTATTCTGAAATTTATTTTTAATCTAAATGATTTGTTTAATCTTAATGCAATGATCTTTATTCTTCTCTATCTTTGTCAATTTGTTCCAAAAGGGGGAGAAAGATGTTACATTCAGGGGGAGTTTAGTTTACAAATAATTTTTTTTCCATATTAAACTTTCACTGGTAGTTTTGTTTGATCGTTGTGCAAATAATCAGGTGAACATTCAATTATGTAATAAGCAAAAGAAGATATTCAAGAGGAAGAAAATTTTATTTTATTTCTTTGACAAATTGTTATCTTTTTTTTTTTTTTTTTTTTTTTTTTCATGGGTAGATTATACATTTTTTTTAGGGTTTTATCACAAAATTACCAAAGTGGGAGATTATGAGATATATATTTTGTAATGGCTAATTTCGGTGTCAAAACAAGTTCGATCGAGTTGTATTTCTAAGTTTAAAGTTCAATATCACGATCGGTTGTGGAGTTGAAGAGTTATTCATACTTGATAGCTTTAAGTCTACGAAAAGGTAAGAACAACATTATAGGAAGTTGAGTTAGAAGGTTAGGACACTTGCATACATGTGTTATTTTAAAAAATTGCAAAACTTTTCTAAGTGTTAACATTCAGTTCAAGTCTAGCCAACTTAAACCGGTTCCATGCAGCTGAACTGGTTCAAGATTCAATACTTCAAAATTTTCAACACTGGCCAACTTGAACCGGTTCAAGATCATCAGATAGTTTTGGTAACTTTGTTTCGTGATCTGTTTTAACTTCCTATTTGGTATAGACTTCTTTCCAAAAACCTATGCACGAATTTAACTTCTTTTCCAAGTATATCTAGGTTTTTGAAAGTCTATATGAACATGTTTTTTCATCTAGGTTTGTGTGACTTTATGCATTAAACTTCTGATTTTCATTAAAAGCCTTTTTTTGTGAGATTTTTAAGAGTATACACACCATATACACACGAGTGATTTTATGGTGTTGTTTAAATCCTGAATGTGTTCAAGTCTATTGAATATTGCATCTACAACGATCAGAGAAAGCAGATATATTTCTTGTACATCAAATTTAGATTCAATAAGAAGAATTCCAGTTCACACTTTGAAGGAATCAAGGCGGTTGATTTACCAGCAATCCTTTTACAGGGTTCAAGGCATAAGTCTGAAGTCAAAAGCTATTAGATGGGAAGTCGCAAAGTTAGAGACATTCAACAGATTGAGTCTTGGCAGAGCGAAGGGGTTTGAGTTTGAGTCAAAGTTCGGTGTATTTTGATTCATACATAGTGGATCTTTTACACTTGGGATTGTGCACAAAACCTCACGGTTTTCCATTTGGTTTCCTCGCTAAAATCTTGTGTCACTCTAAGCTTTACTTGTTTTTATCTCACATGTGATTGTTTAATAAATCGATAATTTTAGTAGAGTTAATTAAATAGAGATAAACTTGAGTAAATCCTCTTTAGAGAAAAAAAACTTAAACTTTCCACAATATATTTTGCTGCACAACTCGCAGATGCCATATCTGTAAAGTGACGTGGCACCCCTACAGTATCATTTCATTTTTCAATAGTAAATCTTGGAAGCACCAGGCACACCATATCATTAGTATACCCATCCAATGACAATGCCTTATTTAAAAAATAAAAAAAATTAAAAATAAAATTACTCACCTACTTATAAAATTGCTGATAACGAGGTAATATGTTATGTTTTATTGGATTGGTACACTTGTGACATGGCACTTGGCACATCTAATATATACTCATTTTCCGGACGGGGCCATTTGCTCCACATTTGAAAGTTAAGATATTTATATGCATATGCAAATAGCTGATTGTTATGTACAACAAGGGTTTTTTTTTTCTTCTCCACTTTACCTTTTTCTAAAAGGATAATGATATTCTTACCGAAGGCATAATTCCAATAGAGGGCAAACGTCTCGGTTTTGTACATGTGGATTTGCTATTTAAAAAAAGAAAAGAAAAAAGATAGTCGCGTTCCAATAAATGCTTCTTTTAAGTTGCACAATTGTAAGCAATGCCATAAACTTAAAAGATCTTACAAATATGTTGTACCTAAAAATAAAAAATAGTCGCTTTCCATGCCTTTGCTAATTGAATTTAATTACTCTCAAAATTAATAAAACATATTAATTAATCTTTAAAAAAGTTATAAAGATAGAAACATTCCTAAAAAGAAAAGGTTACATGTCCTTATTGATTTTAGTTTATTATTAAAGTAAGGTGTTTTTTTTAGAAATGTCTAATTTTTAGAATTTTTTAAAAGTTAGCATTATATTTTATAAATTTGAAAAGTAATTAAATCTAATTAGAAAAGTTCACATGTAAATTTACGTCCAAAAAACATGAATTTTGACTCCAACATTATTATGTAAAGTTGATGATGGTATCAAAAATAATTTTTGTAAAAACTCATTTGTTTGTTCTTATCTAATAAAAGAAGAACATAATTTTGAAAAAAAAAAATCAAAATAAAATATGAGAATTAAATGTGAGGGTTAGACCTCCCATTCGACAGCTAGAGGATCATTACCTAATTCTAAAAAGTATTTCCAAATAAATATTTAAGAACAATAGTTTGGAGACAATGTTGTAAGGAGAGCATCTCCAGCAGTCTATTTAAATTTTTTTTGTGTAAAATATACATTGTCACGTATGATGTGTAAATTTTTTATTTTTTTTTATCTACAGTAGTTTGTTAAGATACACTATCACGTTACTAATGTATAAAATTGTTGTGCATTTTGTGCAACCTTTTTACATAGCTACATCAGCATATTTCCTTTCTCCTCCATCTTTCTCATTCCACTAATGAGTTAACCCTATATTAAGTTGGTTTGTAAAAATTATGTGGGGTCCAGTTTATACAAAAAAGTGTATATATATATATATACACAACGGTTGGCGAGGGAACCATAACAAGTTGGAGCATTTGGGATTTTTGAAATCTATTGTTTTTGTTTTTTATTTAAGGACGGGAATTGCCGAGTAGGTCATCCTTACTAACTGTTGATGTGATCCAATCACAAATGTATACGTAGTTTGTAATTACAAAATCAAGAAAGTAACAAATAAGGAAATCATAGAGGTTTACTGAATTTATTCCAAAAAAAAGTTATTGTTTTTATTTTTCACTTTCTTGATTTTGTAATTACAGATGATTTGTACATTTGTTATTGGACCATATCAGCTGTCAATAGGGATAACCTACTCACCTATAAGTAGGCAAGGCCTGTATTTTATTTAATTGTTTTTATGATTAAATTAATTATGGAATATTGTTTTATAGTTTTAACGAAAAGATAGCCCGACTAATAATAGTTAAATGGAATGAATCATAGCCTGCCTTCTTACATGCTATTAGGTATACAATATTGATTAGGATCACGCACATCCCTTGTCATAACCTTTTATTATTTTGTGTTTGAAAAAGTGAACCTTATCAAAAAAATAAATTACATATATGAAAAATTGGTAAATTCTTAATTGATTTAATTTTGAGTAATGATATATATTCTGAATTCGAAAGTTCTCGTAATAATAATTATGTGAGTGATGGTGTAGACTCCACCACATGATGTTCTGTGGTGGGGTCCATGCTTTTACTCACATTAACTTCATTCACACTGCTGAAAGAATATATCATTTCTCTTTAATTCTTAGTCTTAGTAACTCCTGTATATATGTATATATAGATTTTTTTTATCTATATAAAGACCAACTTGAAGTGTATCAGTGCAATTCAAGGAATGCACTACATAGCTCATTATAATTAAGTTTCTACATAAATTGACTCCATCACTTGATGGATCGTTTTGTACTTGCTTTCTTTGTTACTCTCTTTGTTATTTTAGGGAAATATGCAAGTGAAGTTGATGAAGTTAACTTCGATCAAAACTACTATGTTACATGGGGATCAAACCATGCCATTGTTCTTGACGAGGGAAAAACAGTCCAACTTTTAATAGATGAGTATTCAGGTTAATATGATCGATGTTCAATGCTAAACTTTCTTTTCTTTTCTTTTCTTTTTTATTTTTGTTTATTTTATTTATTTTTATTTTTTTAAAGATGGTAGTTTCCACTATGTATGCATGCATCATACTTTTTGTCAATATTATATTAGTTGTTTATGATTGTCAATAATTTCGATTTTTTATTTATTTAAAATACTTAGGTTTTTTAAGTGAATTAAATCTAAAATTTATTGGATCATGCAGGAGGAGGATATAGTTCAAAGCAGGATTATGTCTCGGGACATTTTGGAATGAGGATGAAAATACCAAAAAAGAACTCAAAAGGAGTGATCACAACTTTTTATGTAAATAATATTATATTTCAATATGGGTTTGTTTTTGATTAATTAGATGAATTAATTTTATTTTTGTTCATTAATTTACTTTTATATATTTTTCCCTTACCTTATATGATTATTATTTGATTATTGCAGTTAACTTCCGTGCCAGTTAACCAACAGGCAAGTAATTATCACGATGAGATTGACTTTGAATTCTTGGGTAACAATGGGATGCCTTATACATTGCATACCAATGTATTTGCAAGTGATAATGGTGGAAGGGAGCAAGAGTTTCATCTATGGTTTGACCCCACTGAGGATTTCCATACTTATGAAATTCTATGGAACCAACATCAAATAGTGTAAGCCATCATATATCACTACTTAATGCCCTTTATAATTAATTATATTGTTGCATCTTTGATCTTGTATATATATATAAGATTAGAATCAAAATCCTCTTCATTAATACCTACACTTTTTTTTTCTAGCTATATATATTTGCATCATGCAAAAAAATCATAAAGTGAAGAGGATTCAGGCTTATAAGATCTCAATACTATTAATTATTTACAGTATAATTAAACGTAACATTAATACTATTAATTGTTTGCAGTATAATTAATTGTAACATTAATATTGTTTGTTTATATAATTGATTTTAGATTTTTTGTGGACAAAGTCCCCATTAGAGTGTTCAAGAACAATACAAATATTGGAGTGAATTTCCCATCACAATCCATGCATATAGAGGCAAGCATATGGAATTCAACTTCTTGGCAAGGAGATGTGGATTGGAGTAAAGGACCCTTCACAGCCTTTTATCAAGCTTTCAAAATCCATGGCTGCCCATATCAAAGCTCAAACCCTCATATGTGTTACTCTTTGGCCTTGCCTTGGAATGGGGAGGATTGGCAACTCAACCCTCAACAACGAGCGATTCTTGGAGATGTTAGAAAAAATTACATGACTTATGATTATTGTTCTCAACGCTCCCAAAATTATCCAGAATGCTCAAGTTAGTCTGCAAACAATTAATTCATATAATTAATTATTTAAAATACTAAGATAATAACACAGCTCATGCATGATCAATTCATTGGTTATTCTATTTTATGATCATGTACTTAAGAATCATATGCTATTATGAATAAAACATTAGTTGAATGTTTTAATTTGCTTTCATGCTCTCCATCCAGTATTACATCGGGAATCCATCCACAGGCTCCGTGAAGAAATAAGTTATATATTTGCCCCAATAATATAGTTGAGAAAAGAAGTGGCATAAAGTTCAAATATGAATTAACAAAATGGTAGGATTATTAAATGACAAATCCAACATTCCCAAAATAAATAATTAAAGCGACAAATCTTAAATTTATTATAATAGCATGTGAGGTATATATTTTGAAATTGACTAATTTTCTTTGTCAAAACAAGTCTGATCAAGTTGTATAATTTCGGTTCAGAATTTCAAGATTGAAGATCAGAAGTAGATTTGAAGAAGTTCAAGTGTTCGTACTTTAATACACCCCAGGATGATGAGAACAATATTTTAGAAATGTATGTGAGTGTGTGAGAACACTTACGAAGTTTTGGAAGTTCAAAAACACAAGTTTTTAGGAAGTATACATTCTGTCCATCTTGAACTGGTTTAACAATTTTGTGACGACCCTGGATTTTACAAACCTAGTGCATCCTATGATGACCTGAAGGTTGATCCAAAGTGGATCCGAAATGCAGAAGTGAAAATATAATCAAGATCTCTAGGGATGTACATCATCCCTAAGACACCAAAGTGACTTTCCATGAGGCCACGGAACTCAAAGAAAACGTAAACGGAAGCAAGGGCTGAAAATAGACCAAGTATGGCCACAAGGGCAAAATGGTCTTTTCCAAAAAGATGTGGGTGCTATCGAGCACACCTTTGGATAGACAATGAAAAATTAATAAAGATAGATTCAAGAATCGCCTGATTTGGAGTCCGAACGAAGAAGATATGGCCATTCGAAAATGGAGCATCAAAGCTGGCTAGACGGGGGCACCATGGGTGCCCACGGCGCACGCCACGCACGAGCTCCAGCCCCCTTGACAGCAGCCTGGCCTACATAGATTTTTGGGATAAAAATGCAAATTTTAGGGCTTAAACGACATTTTTAGGGAAAAAAAAGTCGTAAAGTAACCTCCTCCCCCCCCCCCCCCCCCCCAAAATCATGTTTTCTACATGACCATGTCAAGATAAGTTTTTATTTTTCAAGTGAAATACCCAAAATGCCCCTTAAATCAAACTTTTTCCTGAAAAAAACGCTCGCATGAGAAAATTTAGATCTGTGACTAATTTCAAACGAATTTTGTTAGGAAAACACAAAGAAGAAACCCCCCATAAAATCACATTTTCTATGTGACCATATCTAAGCCAGAATTTATTTTTTAAAGAAAAAACCCCGAAATGCCCCTAAACCAGATTTTGCAAAAGAAATGCAAAATGAGTCTATAGGACGCTCATTTCACCAAAGATAGGGTTTTATACAAAAATGAATATGCATGCAGACGTAATATGAATATTTAAGTACGTTAGAATGGTCTACGACCTTAAAATACCCTCGATGTAAAATATAACCTATCAAATCTCAAATTTACAAAATAAGTCATTTAAAAGCAAAACTTACAACCAATGGACATAAATGCATTCAAAAGACCGTTTGACCATTGGCCACACGTCATATATATTAAAAGAGTCATAAAAAGTGTGCTCGTGCACACTTTGCACAACCCAAATTGAAAATGACATGCTAAAACCTCAAATTTCTTAATATTGCCTTCAAAAGCAAATTACAAATCCAAAGTGCATAAATGTAAACAAAGTGGTGTTTGGCCCTTGGTCACACCTCATACATATAAAATGAACCTCAAAAGTAAATTTGCATACAGAATGCATACCCCGAGGCAAAAACGACGTACTAAAACCCTTAATTTCATAAAATTCCCTTTTAAATATATGAAATTCCAATTGAAGTTTGCCCTCGGTCACATATCATACATATAAAATAAGTGCCAAAAAGTGTACTTAGGTACACGCTACATGTTTCAAGGCAAAAGTGACATTTTAAGCTTAACTATGCATTACAACTTACGAAAACAAAACGACACATGCTAACATTTGCATGGCCGTGAAAATACATCAAGGTACTCCAAAATAAAATGTAACCTAGGGATGTTGTGCATCCCAAACCAAGGTATCCGTACCTGAAAAATATCCCAACAACTAGGGTGAGTAAACAAGTTACTCATAGGAAGAAGTGTATTCGTATACCCTAAATTTCAAATATCATGCAAGTTCAATATAGATTATTACAATGGATCATTCTTCCTAACGTCTATGTTCCACGGTGAACTAAGAGATCATCTCAAGCTACACAAGCAATTGAAATAAAAGACAATATACAAGTATACTTGCTCAAGTATACAAAGCAATATTAAAATGCAATGCACCACATATACACTTACATGTATACTCTAATGACTTGTTTATTTTCCTTCCTTTCTTTTTTTTCTCAAATTTTTCAGATAAATTTTTTTTTCCCGTTGTCTTCTCTTTTCTGTGTTCGGTTTCTCATCTCTTGGTGTTGTCTCAAGTGCTCGGAAATGGTTTCCGAGACTCTTTCCTTGGGATTGACAACTTCCTTTAAGGACCGAGTCATTTCCACATTTTCATTTATTTTTTTTACACTATTCACTTTTTATCTTTTTCCCGCATGTCACTTTGTTGGCACAACCTCAGTTTTCGTGTTCGGATTTGTGTCTGCTTTTGCATGCACTCATGGTATATAATTTCTTAGAAATTTGTGTTTTTTCTTTCTTAGAAATGTATGCTTGTAGTGTACTTTCTTCCTTAGGGGTGTGGATGCACACTTCTTTGGAATTTTTCTTTCTTTTGGGGTTATTTGTGTAATTACTATAAGTAATTATTTTTATCTTGAGGACCACTTTGCAATTAAGTTTGCAAGATATTTAGAGGAGGGACCTACTTGCAATTATTTTTGGGTTATTTTGGGATTATGATTTTAAAGAAGAGTTTTTGTGCAATTGACCAAGAATTGTGTGTGTTATCCATGGTGTTAGTTCACCTAGTGAGTGGAGGACTTTTAAATCCTCCACTCACATTTCATGTCCCTCACATTTTATATTATCCTTTACAAATGAACCCTAGCCTCCATGAATGAAGCTTAAAGCCTTAAGCTTTGACTTTGATTTTTGAGGCCCTTCCACTTACCTTAGACCATAAAGTTTGGAATACAAAAGTTTTGCCTCACCTTCCTCTACATAACCCTTGAAAGGTTTGCCTTTTTGTGTTGATTTACCTTCGATTCTAGAGAGACACTTTTCTAGTGAGGTAGGGGGTGTTCTAGTTTATTATCTAAGTGAATTAATTGCTTTTGTAGTGAGGTATAAGTTGTATGTATGTCTTTTATTAATTTAAGAAATTAATGATTAATTGTAGTTTGCATATAACTCACTTTCGACTTGGTATATGGCATGGGCATGACTTGACCTTTGTTATATATTAATTTGGGATGATTTAAATGAGTTTTCAAATCTAGAGATTTAACGAATTTAATTTGATTTAAATTCTACTTAATTGTACTTTGTTTGTATTCAATTTTAGACTTGATATATGGCATGGCCATGACTTAATCCTTGTTATATATTAATTTGGGATTATTTGAATGACTTTTGAAATCTAGAGATTTAATTAATTCAAATTAATTAAATTTTACATGATGGTATCATGCTCATTTTGCACTTTTGATTTGACATATGTAATGACTATGTTATGTTGTTTAACATATATTAATTAGAGGTTATTTGGAATTGATTTGAAATATAGAGAATTTAATTATTTTTGTTTAATTAAATTCTATCTAATTGCTCCATGGATTTAATTATGTTTTAGAAATTGTTTGTATGTTTAAATCATGGACTTGGAATTGTTGTATATTCATTTAGTTACGTTTTGAGCATTGGATAACATAGTTGTTATATTTATATTCATGAGAATATGTTTTCTTTGTCTTGTGTAATGAGTTGCACACTTTATTTTTGACATCTTTCATGCCATAGTAGTTGTGGACTTAGAGCATGTATTGTATGTGTTTCCAAAATTTGGTTGTGTGTGGTAGATAGTTGATTATCTTGTAAATACATGTTGATATATACGTTATTGCATAACTTGTTGATTTTGGAAACTTGGGATGTCGTTGTTTAACTATGGCTAGGGCATGGTTCTAGTACTTGGGAATGCCCCCTTATAGTCTAGTGCGCACATAGGGAGGTTACCCATGGGCTAGTAGCCCTAAAGTAACCATGTTGTCGGTCTGATCCAGCGTGATGTCCAAGTATCCACCTTGTTTGATTTCACATTTCATTTTAAGTTTATAACTAGATGATGTTGTAACTTGTTGTTCCTTACTTGATTTCCCATTTTAAGTTTCAAGATGTTAACTTTGAGGATTCATACTTTATGCGTTGTATTGGAAGTTCCAATGTTGGTTAGATTGCATCGATATTGTGATTTGTGTTTTATTGTTCTAATGTAGCCTAGGATGATACCTTAGACTCATTTGGAACATAGACGCTAGGTGGCATGAACCATTTTAGTTGATTTCGCATTTTAGATTTCAAGTTAATGACTTTGACGATCTGTATCTTGTTGCATTGTATAATATACTCATATGTTGTTAAATTGCATGAATGATGTGATTTATGCTAGAAATGATTAAGGTAACTTAGGATGCTCCTTGGGTCTTACTCTTGACATAGACGCTAGGTGGAATGAACCACAATGATTAAATTATGCAAACTTGCAAAACATTAGGTCTTTGCATGCTCATCTTCTACGAGTAGCTTTACGTTACTCACCCGAAAGTTACCTGGGACATTTTTCAGGTACAGGAATCAAGGTTCGAGATTCTCATTATACTTGGATGATTTGTAGACTTGAAGGTTTTAATTCTTGTAAAGGT